TGTCCGAGGGCAGGCTCCGCCTCGCCCGACATCTACGGGCAGACTACGCCTCTTGCCCAATGACCGAGGGTTAACTCCGTCTCGTCTGACCCTCGAAGGTTGGCTCCGCCTCGCCCGACGTCTGGGAGTAGGTTCCACCTCGCCCGACGTCCGAGGGCTGGCTCCGCCTCGCCCGACGTCTGTGGGCAGACTACGCCTCTTGCCCAACGACCGAAGACGAGCCAAACGGATGTAACTAGAAATTATTTTTGTACAAGGCGCTGCTTTGGTGTAGTATATTTTCATATTATTTTAAATCTGTTTTTGGCTTTTGACTTTCTGATTTTCCAAATGGGTGAAAACAAGGAGATGTTTTACGGCTGCTTCACCGGAGATAGAGAGAAGGTTAGGTTCTATAGTTGTTACAATCAAATAGGTTATAGTTTTTTTCACAAAACATAGCTTAAAGTAGTTTTTTCATAGGTCACAGTTCAACCCTTGCACCGTTAATGAATCCGCATTACCGCACAGGCTAGAGTCTTAGAAGATAAAAGTATTACATGTTAATGCTTTACTAATAGTAAAAGAATTACGTACCAATATTAATTTGCACGTTTTTTTCTCTCTTTGTTCACTATCTAATACAGTTGCTAGGCTTATAGGTACTGTGTATAATCTTAATGCAGTGTTATCATTTATTAATCTAGATGTTTTTTCTCCACTCTTTCTACATCTCAGTTGACTGAGATATGCTGATTGTTCAGGCAACGATGCCCGCGACCCTTACCCATGTGCACGTGCACGCATCTCCCTCTCTCCCCACGCGGCAGTGGCGGCAAGGTAGGCACTCCTCCTCCTCCTCCTCCTCCTAGATCTACGAGTTAGGGTTTCGGCGAGTTTCACCTCTCTCTCTCTCCAAACTCTGGCAACCTTAGAAAAAGGAGGGGCCCTTAAGAGGTAGGCATGACAAGTGGTGAGGACGATGGCCGGGCTCACTGGCATGGTGGCGTACATCAACTGGGTGTGGTAGGTTTGGCCGCTCAAGGTCCTTGGTGGGCACCTGCTAGTGTTGGTGCCTCATCATGTTTTGGCCTGCGGGTGATAATCTGAGGACTTTGATGTGCAACCATGTAGTCCTGATTAATATTCATGTGCGGTCCTTATGTATGAAGGCATAATTCTTAGTTATTAATCTATTCTCTATATATTTAGATGGCCAGAAAGATGTATATCACAGTAGATCATTGTCAGGGACCAAATACTGGGGTACCCAAGGAGGAGGAGCTAATAATCATCAAACATTGATGATTCCGAATAGACAAGAGCACAACTACACCTCTTGCCCAACGACCGACGGTTAACTCTGTCTCGTCCGACCCCCGAAGGTTGGCTCCACCCCACCCGACGTCTGAGGGCAGGCTCCGCATCGTCCAACATCTGGGAGCAGACTCTGCCTTACCCGACGTCCGGGGGCTGGCTCCGCCTCGCCCGATGTCCGAGGGCAGGCTTCGCCCCGATGTCTAGGGGCAGACTCCGCCTCACCCGATGTCCGAGGGCAGGCTCCGCCTCGCCCGACATCTACGGGCAGACTACGCCTCTTGCCCAATGACCGAGGGTTAACTCCGTCTCGTCTGACCCTCGAAGGTTGGCTCCGCCTCGCCCGACGTCTGGGAGTAGGTTCCACCTCGCCCAACGTCCGAGGGCTGGCTCCGCCTCGCCCGACGTCTGTGGGCAGACTACGCCTCTTGCCCAACGACCGAAGACGAGCCAAACGGATGTAACTAGAAATTATTTTTGTACAAGGCGCTGCTTTGGTGTAGTATATTTTCATATTATTTTAAATCTGTTTTTGGCTTTTGACTTTCTGATTTTCCAAATGGGTGAAAACAAGGAGATGTTTTACGGCTGCTTCACCGGAGATAGAGAGAAGGTTAGGTTCTATAGTTGTTACAATCAAATAGGTTATAGTTTTTTTCACAAAACATAGCTTAAAGTAGTTTTTTCATAGGTCACAGTTCAACCCTTGCACCGTTAATGAATCCGCATTACCGCACAGGCTAGAGTCTTAGAAGATAAAAGTATTACATGTTAATGCTTTACTAATAGTAAAAGAATTACGTACCAATATTAATTTGCACGTTTTTTTCTCTCTTTGTTCACTATCTAATACAGTTGCTAGGCTTATAGGTACTGTGTATAATCTTAATGCAGTGTTATCATTTATTAATCTAGATGTTTTTTCTCCACTCTTTCTACATCTCAGTTGACTGAGATATGCTGATTGTTCAGGCGACGATGCCCGTGACCCTTACCCATGTGCACGTGCACGCATCTCCCTCTCTCCCCACGCGGTAGCGGCGGCAAGGTAGGCACTCCTCCTCCTCCTCCTCCTCCTAGATCTACGAGTTAGGGTTTCGGCGAGTTTCACCTCTCTCTCTCTCCAAACTCTGGCAACCTTAGAAAAAGGAGGGGCCCTTAAGAGGTAGGCATGACAAGTGGTGAGGACGATGGCCGGGCTCACTGGCATGGTGGCGTACATCAACTGGGTGTGGTAGGTTTGGCCGCTCAAGGTCCTTGGTGGGCACCTGCTAGTGTTGGTGCCTCATCATGTTTTGGCCTGCGGGTGATAATCTGAGGACTTTGATGTGCAACCATGTAGTCCTGATTAATATTCATGTGCGGTCCTTATGTATGAAGGCATAATTCTTAGTTATTAATCTATTCTCTATATATTTAGATGGCCAGAAAGATGTATATCACAGTAGATCATTGTCAGGGACCAAATACTGGGGTACCCAAGGAGGAGGAGCTAATAATCATCAAACGTTGATGATTCCGAATAGACAAGAGCACGACTACACCGCTTGCCCAACGACCGAGAGTTAACTCCGTCTCGTCCGACCTCCGAAGGTTGGCTCCGCCTCGCCCGACGTCTGAGGGTAGGCTCCACCTCGCCCGACGTCTATGAGCAGACTCCGCCTCGCCCGACGGCAGGCTCCACCTCACCCGACGTCAGGGAGCAGACTCTGCCTCGTCGATGTCCGAGGGCTGGCTCTACCTTGCTCGATGTCCGAGGGCAGGCTCCTTGCCCGACGTCCAGGGGCAGACTCCGCCTCGCCCGATGTCTGGGGGCAGGCTCCGCCTCGCCCGACGTCTGCGGGCAGACTACGCCTCCTGCCCAACGACCGAGGGTTAACTCCATCTCGTCCGACCCCCGAAGGTTGGCTCCGCCTCGCCCGACATCTTGGAGCAGACTCCGCCTCGCTCGACTTCCCGGGGTTGGCTCTGCCTCGCCCGATGTTCGGGGGCAGGCTCCGCCTCGCCATATGTCCTGGGGCAGGCTCCGCCTCGCCCGACGTCCAGAGGCTAGCTCTAGCTCCGCCTCACTCGACGTCCGGGGGCTGGACATCTGTGCGCTGCTCCTTCGTAACTGTGCGCGCAGATAAGGCTAGGCAGTCAAGTCAACTGCAATACCGAGGACCATGCCCTGCACGCCTGCAGGAAAGTACCATCATGATATGACAAGACGGGCGCTTTAAGCCCTTCCAGGCATGTCAAAGCCCGAACAGTGTTGTGGGCGCCGACAATTATCTTACAGTATTATGGGCGCCGGCATTTGCCCTCGGGCACGAATCCTGATGGAAGCATACGACAACCGCTATGGTCCAAGAGGAAACTCACATCATCTACAGTGACAAACGTGCAGTCACTGCACCGTCCGCTCCCCGTGGGGTTGCGGATCAACACCCCAGTGCACCGGTGCGGGATGGAACGTGACCACTTGCTGATCAAGTTAGAGCGTGGCATCGTCAACGGACAGACACCCAGCATGGAGCCATTCCTGGCACCGGCTGTCGTGTCAGCACGGCTGGCTCAGAGGAAAAGGAAGACCCAGCACCCGCGAAGGATCTTCTTGGCCTCTGGTTTTTCTTCTTTCTTCCATCTATAATCCCTGCTCCTCCTTGTCTATAAAAGGGAAGGCAGGGCACCCCACTAAAGGGACGGATCGATTCCTCACATATACACCAGATAGCTAAGCAGCATCCAAGCTCTTAGCACCCGTTCGACCTTTCTATCAGAGAGTTGGGACCTGTCCCTCTCTCGCCCGTTTGTACCCCCAATTATGAACCTTTCAGTGCTAATAACACGAGCATCATCCGCAGACTAGACGTAGGGATATTCTACCCGAACCAGTATAAACCTTGTGTCTTTTAGCACACCATCCGGGCCCAACGCCCAATAAATACAAATTTACTCGTTTGTGTTTACTCGAAACACCGACAATCATATACACCTAGGATCATTAAATACCTGTAATCTCTACTGTAGACAGTCAAATAGCTAAGCCATAATATGAGCTGACTATATAACTGGCTTGGACTTACAGCTAGCAGTCCGCTAAATTATTAGCCTTGCTCGCTACCAACAAGAAGGTTGGTGGTCAAAGGAGCAATGATTGCTGTAGTTTTTTGTTGCTTTGACCAGGACCATTGTCCACACGTCCTACTCTTAATTTCACTCCTTAAATGCGGTAGATGCCAGTTGGCCCATTAAAGATCCCTCCATCCTAAATAAGTGACGTTTTTGACTTATAGACTTCTTGTTTGACCGTTCGTCTTATTCAAAATGTTTTTAAATATTATTTATTTTGTTATGATTTATTCTATCATTAGAGATACTTTAATAATGATTTATTTATTTTATTATTTGCACAAAAAATTGAATAAGATGAACAGTCAAACAAGAAGCTTAAAAGTAAAAAACGTCACTTATTTTTAGAACGGAGGGAGTAGTGGTTCTCTAGAATATTTTAGCATCAATTTTGTGTTTACTGAGATATCAATTTTATTTGAACAATTATTAGTATTCAGTGTGCTGTTTCAAGCAACCCGATGCACAGTATTATGTGGTTGAAGCGGAGCACATAGGAATAATACAGACATGTCAGGATGGACTAATAAGTTTTTATTATAACAAGTAGGAGACTCTCATCACTTAAGTCCTATCTTGATGATCTTACATTAGAATATTACAATGGGGCTCCTCACCACATGCTTGCTAGAGACCCACTTGAAACTTCCCTGAGCATGTTGAGTTTTGCTAGCATTCCAGCTTAAACTTACAGTAAATGTTTGGTTCTCCTTGAGCTTGGTGAACTCTAGCTTTGTGGGTGACACTGTGGCCTCAACTTCCTTTGGCATGTCAATCTCAATGGTATAAGATGACATTGCATCTCCAACATTTGTGACTGTCCGATCCACGACAAGTTTTCCTGCACTCGCCCTTATTGCAATCGAAGGGTAGTTCAGCTCTGCTTCAGCTATTTTTCTTCGTTTGTTGCAAGCATCCTTCTGATGCGTGATTGTCTCCACCTGAGAATCTGTGTAGCCTAGGCCACAGAGATACATGATGTACTGCTCCACGTCGGTGTCGTACACTAGGCCTGGGCTGATAGCTTGGGAAGGATTAACATGTCCGGCCCCGATACTGAAATGACTCGCTGGATTGAGTTGCTCATCTTGGATTGGCTGGTTGTTACCATACAAGACATAGGCTGTCGTCATGATTGCTGACTTGATCACCGCAGGTGACCAATCTGGATGTGCACTCTTGATAATAGCTGCAATGCCACTAAGGTGAGGTGCAGACATTGATGTTCCAGATATGGAGTTGAAAGTTGTATCATGTTCACGGCCGCCGGCAGTATTTGGTCCGACTTTGAACGGCCATGCTGCAATGACGTTCACACCGGGTCCAATAACGTCTGGCTTCAGAATGCCAGGGCTTGCAGTACTAGGCCCCCTAGACGAGAAGTAAGCAACTACAGGAGCTGGAGTGGTTCCCAGTGACGTGCCATTGAAAATGATTGAGGCAGTCGGCTTGCTGGATGTCTTGATGTACTCTCTGACGGCAGCAGCATCTTGAGAGTTCAGAAATGATGCTGGTAGGACATGGGCTGCAGCAATAGTTGTGTGGCCACCATCCTCAGCTCCGAGTAATATCACGCCAGCACCACCACCATCCTTGATAGATTGTCCAATTTCGACCTGAGAGCCTTCAAGCTCGCAAGCAACAACATTCCCCGTGATGTTTCCAGCAGATTGAAACATCAGGGGCAAAGGGCCAAGGCTAGATGGTTGGTAGGCCGACTCACCAACAAAGGAGCGGCCATCGCCAAGCTTCACAATGGCTTCCATTTGCCGGTCCATTGTGCTTGCACCCACTGACAAGACCCATGGTTCTTCATTGCTTAGTGTGCCAGTAAGCGGACCGGAATTTCCGGCAGAACAACTCACAAATATGCCCTTCTTCATAGCAGAAAAGGTTCCGATGGCAATAACATCTTCATGGAAGGGCTGTGGATGACCGCCGAGTGACATGGACAAGATATCAACACCATCAGTGATAGCGGCTTCCAGTCCGGCAAGTATGTCTGAGCCATAGCAGCCCTGCTCGTTGCACACCTTGTACATGGCTAGGTGCGCACGTGGGGCCATGCCAGCTGCAGTACCATTGCCACTACCAAGCACACTTGCGCCTTGCACGAACTTGCCAGCGGCCGTGCTAGCAGTGTGTGTTCCATGGCCAACATCATCCAATGGAACCTCGGTATTATTTGGGCCACCAATCAATGACCTTGCGCCAATAAGCTTCTTGTTGCAATGACCACTATCAAAGTGGCAGGATCCACGCCATTTAGAAGGCGGCGTGGACATGCCCTCATCGCCAAAAGAGCTGTGTGCCGAATCTATCCCCGTGTCTAGGAGACCAATGATGCTTCCCTCGCCCATGCCTAAGCTATCCCAAGCCCCTCCATTTGGTCGTAGGCTTAGGAAATCAGGTGTGTGGGTTGTCAAGAGCGGAAGAAGGGTGTCTTTGTACACCATAAGGACCCCATCTTTGCTCTTGACATACTCTGCCTCATCATCTGTGAGGTCTATAGCAAACCCGAGAATGGCTTCTTTATAGGTATGGATGAATGGTGATACTGATCGAGGCGATCTTTCCATATGTGGGGGGAGGAATGATCTATACCAGCTTTCAAAGTTACTGGGACTCATAGCCATGGAAATATTTGGAGGAGGGCTCACACGTACAATATACGTGCACAGGCCAGATCTTTCACAATTTCCTTGGGTGATGGCTTGAGGGGTGTGTGGTAGCAGGCCTATGAGAACAAGGGAGGTTAATAGGAGTGTAGCATGCAACTCCATGGCTGAAACTCGGAAGATGAAAAGGCTATGAACTGTGTCAAAATAAGCTGGGACGGAGCTGGCCTATTTATAGCCGACTAGGTAACTCAGTAGGTGACACCATCAATGGATCGCACCTATATTTTGCGATTACCACCTCAAAATATGTTAAAGAAATAACTCTTTTATTCATGGATCCAAATGCCTCTGAGTTCTATACATTTAATTCTTGGAAGGAACCATATCTTCATAATTGTGATGAAAGGTATTTTGCATGATTTTATTTTGTATAAAAAGCCATCATGAATAATGAGGATTATACTTCTATTAACAGCTTTGAAATTTCTACGAAAAATTGAAATTGATTTAGCTAGATTTGATTCTCTAGATGGCAATAGAATCCTATATTTATATTTATGATATTTTTGCATGAATACTTGGGAAATAATATTTTTCTAGTAGACACAAATGCACATGATACCTTGGCAAATAATTAGTTACAAGGAACAATATGTTTATAATGAGATATTGAAAGAGATTTAGCATGATTTGGGTATTTAGATCAAGCCAATATGAATATTGATGATTATTGGTCGGGGTTAGCTGTCTTCTACTCAAAGCTTTAAATTAGTATGACAAATCATAGCTGTAGTAAGGTTGGGTTTGGTTCCTTGAAATGTAGTGGAAGTTTCGAGAATTTTTCTATTACATGAGACAAATGTAGTTGAGGGTTACTCAATGGATGGCAATAGAATCCTATGTTTATATTTGTGATATTTTTGCATGAATATTTGGGAAATAATGATTTTCTACTAGACACAAATGCACATGATGTCTAGGCAAATAATTAATTACAGGGAACAATATGTTTATAATGAGATATTGAAAGAGATTTTTTTTGTGACAAAGATATTGAAACAGATTTAGCATGATTTGAGTATTTAGATCATGCCAATATGAATATTTTTTTTGACGACACTATGCCAATATGAAAATTGATGATTATAGGTCGGGGTTAGCAGTCTTCTAGTCAAAGCTTTAAATTACCAAGACAAATCATAGCTGCGGTAAGGTTGGGTATGGTTCCTTCACATGTAGTTTCGAGAATTCTTTTATTACCTGAGACAAATGTAGTTGAGGGTTAATGGATGGCAATAGAATCCTATGTTTATATTTATGATATTATTGCATGAATATTTGAGAAATAATATTTTTCTACTAGACACAAATGCACACGATATCTAGGCAAATAATTAGTTACAAGGAACAATATGTTTATAATGAGATATTCAAAGAGATTTAGCATGATTTGGGTATATAGACCAAGCCAATATGAATATTGATGATTATTGGTCGGGGTTAGCTGTCTTCTACTCAAAGCTTTAAATTAGTATGACAAATCATAGTTGTAGTAAGGTTGGGTTTGGTTCCTTGAAATATAGTGGAAGTTGCGAGAACTCTTCTATTACCTGAGACAAATGTAGTTGAGGGTTACTCAATGGATGGCAATAGAATCCTATGTTTATATTTGTGAAAATTTTGCATGAATGCTTGGGAAATAATGATTTTCTACTAGACACAAAAGCACATGATGTCTAGGCAAATAATTAATTACAGGGAACAATATGTTTACAATGAGATATTGAATGAGATTTTTTTGTGACAAAGATATTGAAAGAGATTTAGCATGATTTGAGTATTTAGATCATGCCAATATGAACATTTTTTTAGACAAAACTATGCCAATATGAATATTGATGATTATAGGTCGTGTTAGTTGTCTTCGAGTCAAAGCTTTAAATTACTATGACAAATCATAGCTGCAGTAAGGTTGGGTTTGGTTCCTTCACATGTAGTGGAGGTTTCGAGAATTCTTTAATTACCCGAGACAAATGTAGTTGAGGGTTAATGGATGGCAATAGAATCCTATGTTTATATTTATGATATTTTTGCATGAATATTTGGGAAATAATATTTTCCTACTAGACACAAATGCACATGATATCTAGGTAAATAATTAGTTACAAGGAACAATATGTTTATAATGAGATATTGAAAGAGATTTAGCATGATTTGGGTATTTAGATCAAGCCAATATGAATATTGATGATTATTGGTCGGGGTTAGCTGTCTTCTACTCAAAGCTTTAAATTAGTATGACAAATCATAGCTGTAGTAACGTTGGGTTTGGTTCCTTGAAATGTAGTGGAAGTTTCGAGAATTCTTCTATTACCTGAGACATATGTAGTTGAGGGTTACTCAATGGATGGCAATAGAATCCTATGTTTATATTTGTGATATTTTTGCATGAATATTTGGGAAATAATGATTTTCTACTAGACACAAATGCACATGATGTCTAGGCGAATAATTAATTACAGGGAACAATATGTTTATAATGAGATATTGAAAGAGATTTTTTTTGTGACAAAGATATTGAAAGAGATTTAACATGATTTGAGTATTTAGATCATGCCAATATGAATATTTTTTTTGACGACACTATGCCAATATGAAAATTGATGATTATAGGTCGGGGTTAGCAGTCTTCTAGTCAAAGCGTTAAATTACCATGACAAATCATAGCTGCGGTAAGGTTGGGTATGGTTCCTTCACATGTAGTTTCGAGAATTCTTTTATTACCTGAGACAAATGTAGTTGAGGGTTAATGGATGGCAATAGAATCCTATGTTTATATTTATGATATTATTGCATGAATATTTGAGAAATAATATTTTTCTTCTAGACACAAATGCACACGATATCTAGGCAAATAATTAGTTACAAGGAACAATATGTTTATAATGAGATATTCAAAGAGATTTAGCATGATTTGGGTATATAGACCAAGCCAATATGAATGTTGATGATTATTGGTCGGGGTTAGCTGTCTTCTACTCAAAGCTTTAAATTAGTATGACAAATCATAGTTGTAGTAAGGTTGGGTTTGGTTCCTTGAAATATAGTGGAAGTTGCGAGAACTCTTCTATTACCTGAGACAAATGTAGTTGAGGGTTACTCAATGGATGGCAATAGAATCCTATGTTTATATTTGTGAAAATTTTGCATGAATGCTTGGGAAATAATGATTTTCTACTAGACACAAAAGCACATGATGTCTAGGCAAATAATTAATTACAGGGAACAATATGTTTACAATGAGATATTGAATGAGATTTTTTTGTGACAAAGATATTGAAAGAGATTTAGCATGATTTGAGTATTTAGATCATGCCAATATGAACATTTTTTTAGACAAAACTATGCCAATATGAATATTGATGATTATAGGTCGTGTTAGTTGTCTTCGAGTCAAAGCTTTAAATTACTATGACAAATCATAGCTGCAGTAAGGTTGGGTTTGGTTCCTTCACATGTAGTGGAGGTTTCAAGAATTCTTTTATTACCCGAGACAAATGTAGTTGAGGGTTAATGGATGGCAATAGAATCCTATGTTTATATTTATGATATTTTTGCATGAATATTTGGGAAATAATATTTTCCTACTAGACACAAATGCACATGATATCTAGGTAAATAATTAGTTACAAGGAACAATATGTTTATAATGAGATATTGAAAGAGATTTAGCATGATTTGGGTATTTAGATCAAGCCAATATGAATATTGATGATTATTGGTCGGGGTTAGCTGTCTTCTACTCAAAGCTTTAAATTAGTATGACAAATCATAGCTGTAGTAACGTTGGGTTTGGTTCCTTGAAATGTAGTGGAAGTTTCGAGAATTCTTCTATTACCTGAGACATATGTAGTTGAGGGTTACTCAATGGATGGCAATAGAATCCTATGTTTATATTTGTGATATTTTTGCATGAATATTTGGGAAATAATGATTTTCTACTAGACACAAATGCACATGATGTCTAGGCGAATAATTAATTACAGGGAACAATATGTTTATAATGAGATATTGAAAGAGATTTTTTTTGTGACAAAGATATTGAAAGAGATTTAACATGATTTGAGTATTTAGATCATGCCAATATGAATATTTTTTTTGACGACACTATGCCAATATGAAAATTGATGATTATAGGTCGGGGTTAGCAGTCTTCTAGTCAAAGCTTTAAATTACCATGACAAATCATAGCTGCGGTAAGGTTGGGTATGGTTCCTTCACATGTAGTTTCGAGAATTCTTTTATTACCTGAGACAAATGTAGTTGAGGGTTAATGGATGGCAATAGAATCCTATGTTTATATTTATGATATTATTGCATGAATATTTGAGAAATAATATTTTTCTTCTAGACACAAATGCACACGATATCTAGGCAAATAATTAGTTACAAGGAACAATATGTTTATAATGAGATATTCAAAGAGATTTAGCATGATTTGGGTATATAGACCAAGCCAATATGAATGTTGATGATTATTGGTCGGGGTTAGCTGTCTTCTACTCAAAGCTTTAAATTAGTATGACAAATCATAGTTGTAGTAAGGTTGGGTTTGGTTCCTTGAAATATAGTGGAAGTTGCGAGAACTCTTCTATTACCTGAGACAAATGTAGTTGAGGGTTACTCAATGGATGGCAATAGAATCCTATGTTTATATTTGTGAAAATTTTGCATGAATGCTTGGGAAATAATGATTTTCTACTAGACACAAAAGCACATGATGTCTAGGCAAATAATTAATTACAGGGAACAATATGTTTACAATGAGATATTGAATGAGATTTTTTTGTGACAAAGATATTGAAAGAGATTTAGCATGATTTGAGTATTTAGATCATGCCAATATGAACATTTTTTTAGACAAAACTATGCCAATATGAATATTGATGATTATAGGTCGTGTTAGTTGTCTTCGAGTCAAAGCTTTAAATTACTATGACAAATCATAGCTGCAGTAAGGTTGGGTTTGGTTCCTTCACATGTAGTGGAGGTTTCAAGAATTCTTTTATTACCCGAGACAAATGTAGTTGAGGGTTAATGGATGGCAATAGAATCCTATGTTTATATTTATGATATTTTTGCATGAATATTTGGGAAATAAT